CTGAGGATTTTATAGTTTCTGACTTCATCAAACCGGCCGTGGAAAAAGTAGCGGACCCAAATCAGTTCGGAACGGTATCTGGATCATCCACTGTACTGGCACTCATAAGCATGATACACAATTTGCCTTGAAGCAACAGACGGAAACGGAGCGTCAGTTCGGGTCCTTCTTTTTGATTACCGAAAGGCCTTTGACCTAATAGATCAGTCCATCCTAATATCAAAACTGAATCAACTGGACATTCCGAAGAGCGTTATTAACTGAATAGTTGACTTCCTTTCAAATAGGTCTCAGAAAGTTAAACTTGGCAATGACTGTTTCTCTGAGTGGAGCAAAGTGCCTGCCGGAGTACCACAGGGAACCAAACTGGGCCCTTGGCTTTTCCTTTTAATGATAAACGATTTGTCAGTTTCGCTCGACAATTTTAATCTGTGGAAATACGTTGACGATACGACGGTATCAGAAACCGTCCCGAAAGGAAAGATTAGTCACGCGCAAAGTGCAGTTGACCAAGTACAGTCCTGGTCTGAGGAAAATCTATTTCAATTGAATTGCGCAAAAACCAAAGAACTGTTGATCAGCTTTAGCCCTCAATACCCCCAATTTCCAAAAACCAACGTGGATGGGGAACTAATTGAATCTGTGCAGTGTGTTAAACTTCTTGGACTCAATATTAATTCAACTCTAACTTGGAACAACCATATTACAGAAATAATAAAGAAATCCAACTCAAAACACTATTTTTTGATTCAACTTAAGCGGGCTAAAGTACCTACAATCGATCTTGTAGCAATCTATTGCGCAACCATCAGGTCCTGCCTAGACTACGCCTGCCCAGTGTTCCACCATGCACTTCCGAAATATCTACAAGTCGATCTGGAGAGAGTGCAGAAAAGAGCCCTCGCATGCATCTTCCCTGGAGCATCATACAAAGAAGCCCTCGATCAAGCAAACATCCCAAGCTTGAGAACCCACCAAGAACAGTTGACATCGACACTTTTCCGATCAGTTTTAGAAAACAAAAACAACAAAATTCATTCTTTAATCCCAAAAAGTTATCAGGCTAATTACAATTTTAGGAAACAGAGGAATTTCAATCTTAATCGTTGTAAGACCGACAGAGCGGCAACAAGTTTCATAAATATGTGTTGCAGAAACAGTTTGTACAATTAATTAATGTGAAGTTACGCAATTCAGTTTTATCTGCAATGTAATTTTAATAAAACACAGTCTATGAAGATAGCAGCTGCTGGCGCCAATTTTTTCGCTTTCGAATTAATTGCCTTCAGTCATATTATCATACAAACAAGTTTCGAAATTCTTACTTGCCTGATATTTTTCCTGTAACAGAAGACGTTGATTTGCATCTGTTATTCAATGCATTTTTACAAAACGCTTGCTATTCGTTGGTTTCGGTCATGGTATCAGAGAAACAAGCGTTGAAGTATATGAAGTTGCATATCTAAAACTCTTAATTCTTGCTGTCATTTCAGCCTGGATTTAGTGTGAATCAACGGATAAATAAAGGTCTTCCTAATCAGTTTCCAAAATACTTAAAAATAAACAATAGTTAAAAGCAATATCTTGAACGAAAAAAATGTGTTATCTCACCTAACCAGTTTTCTTAAAGGGGTTTAAATAATTCCCAGTAGTAACACTCCGAATTGCGCAAAACTTTTCAAAGTCAGTCGATAAGAAATTTTAAAATGGGTGTTGTACACTTGTCTGTGTTAACACGTAAAAAATCAAGGCCTTTTTTATTTTGTTTCTTACAAAGGAACAGCTAACAAAGAAAACTGGTTGCTAGAAGTCTAAACTACGCAGCCACTAATGGCCGATTTTTTTTTTTAGCTAGCGGCCTTCATACACTCTAAAATCCACCAACGTTTCTTTAGCATTTTCCACGCCTCTGTTTTAATTCTCGCGAAAGTGACTCAACGTGAGCAATTGATAAGTGAATTGATATGTGGAGTTTCATCCATCCCATAAGTGGAATGTAGAAGCTTTTCTGCTTCCATTTTGCTATTGTCGAATGATCTGAAGAAAAATTATAATCTCAATACGATGTTCTAATTAAGAAACTAATGTCGTACAGCTGAGTTTATCCGTCGCGCCATAGGTTTTAAATTTTGTCCCATACACGGCAAAGGTGAAAGATCTTTACCAAATTTCTCAAATTTCTGTTAAAGAAACGAAAGTTTGCAATTCTTTTACTTTAAGGCACTGCTTGCAATGAATAAAAAGGGTATTTATATAATATATAAATTATTCTGAGTCTTTTTTACACGAGGAAGAAAGCCGCACAGTGACTGTAATCAAGAATGCTTCATCTTTTCAGTTAATTAAATTTCGTGTATATGAAGATTCTGTGTATGTCCTCTTTTCCATCACAGTGCAGCTGATTTTAGAATCTTTTAGAGTTATTCATCAGGTTTATAAAGTGGAATTAGAATGATTCTCGTGAAAATTCTGTAATGTCTTTCAATCCAATTAAAAAAGAAAACAAACATAAAAAAACAAAAACAAAAACAAAACAGATTCTTTCTTATACCTGCAGACTTATGCACTTAAGTTAACTAATAAAGGGGCAAACTTATATTTTGATCACGTTTGTTCAAGGTCTCGCCCCTACACTTCGACTTTTCTTGATCGATTTTAATTTAAAGTAAAACCTACATTGCCATCGATGCGCATTTTATTCTGCTATCGGAGGAAATCGACACTTCTTGGTATATTTGAAATATGTTTGTTACCATGCAGTCAGTACCATTTTGCTTTTACAACCAGGTATAGCTTTTACTTCAGAAGCAGGTAAAGGAAAGGCAAACGCTGTGCTTCGGTGATTGGCTTATGAAACGATAAGAAAGCATATCATTTGAAGAAGAATGTAGATTGAAATTAAAAAAAAGGAAAAAGAAGAGAAAAGGAATGGGAAAGGAAAAAGATAGGCATAGTAAATTAACCGTTTTTGAACAATCCTTCAATAAAAGAATGAACAGTCTGTTAATTGGCGTAGCCCACAACCAATAAACACAACAATAAATTAATAAAAGCACCGAAGTTGTGCTCAATCAGCTGTGTAGACTGATTTTTCCCACTGTCAGTGTCACTGTTACTAAACATAAAAGTAAATGGGTTTCGTGGTCTTCTCATCCGCCAGACTAGCTTCGAATCCAAAGTCTCTTAAGTCTCCTTCCAAATCTTACGCACGTGTTGTTGTGAGCCGTCCGCTGAATAAGAAACGTCCGCAAGTAACATTAATCAATTCATTCTTGGGTCTAAAGTCTTTTTGGCCTTTTGCAAATCCATTGCACGAGTTAACCAGAGTCGTCCGCAAGCAGCAGTATGGTATAGAAGCTAGAGGGGATAATTGACAATCAGATATTGGGAGTTAAAGGGCTAAACGGGTACCCGACGTTAGGCCAGGGACTTACATGATATATTTCATTCATTCATGCAAAATATTAATTTATCGATTGCTCCCTGTGGTGATGTACATGCAATTAATGAGCCTAGGTATCTAATTGATAAAGGCATTCTGAAAGCTTCTTGTAAGCTGTTGCCTCATGCGAAGTCGTCCTTTGTTTAACCCAAGCAAAGGTTTTCATGATTCGACGATCAATTTTTCATGCATGTAACAGCTCAACTGTACACGTTATTCGTACGCTGTAAGCTAAACTGCACGCAATATTTATTACACCATTAAAATTTCTTCTATCTATCTGCTTTGTAACTTTTTCGGCCGATTTACACAATAAAGAGCTACACCATACTTTCTGAGAAGCGGAAAGGGAGTCTCATTTTGACTCGCCAAAGATGGAGTGAAAAAAGGCAAGCACAGCCACCGAACTATTAATAATGCAACAAGTAACGCTATTTAGAACAAAAAACATCACCTACCTTATGGAGTTGTATTCTTAAGTTAGCGGGGTGGTCTGTTTTAGGATCTGCAAGTCTTATAATACTTAAAGTACCCTATAAATCAATCACAAAGCTCTTCGCTAACTCCCTTAATTATCAGCCAATTTGATCAGAGTGTCACGAATGTGTCATTCGTCTCAGCATAATAATTTTGACTTATATAATTAAAAACTTTGTCTCATTGCCCACTTTTAAAACTTCACTGAAAACAATTATAGTTTTTCCTTTCAGAGGGATCTCCTTTATCGACAATGGAACAAGACCAGGCACGATACTCACCAGCTCAATAGCCTTGTTCTAATTTTCTTTTTCAACAGTTGTCACGCATCCCCCTAGTAGGTCTTCGACAAAATTTTACTCCTCAAAGTAAACAGAAATCTTGTTATTCATGTCTGATAAGTTACTTGAAAGTCTCTCCATCGCTAAAAACAGTTCTAGTAGTGACGATTTTGTTCACTCCAGGATTGTTTCCACTCATTGTATCCTGCGCGTGAAAAGATGCCACGATTGCTTCAGTCATCTCAGCGTAAGTTAAAACATGGCTGATTTTGGCTTGTACAATTAAAAATGTCGTCACTTTGGCCACTTTAAAACTTCAAAAACAAAAAATTATAATTAATTTTATCAGAGTGATCACTCTTTTTGGCAGTTGATCAAGACCAGTATACAAATACTCACCAGCTCAATATCATTGTTCTAATTACCTTCCAATAGTTAGTACGCCTTTTCTAAGTAGGTCGTCGAACCACTTTTATTTGACACAATCGACATAAAACTTGTAATTCCAGTCTAGTAAGTTAGTTGAAAGTCCCACCACCTCTTCAAAAAGGTTTGATAAACTAGTGACCATTCTGTTAATTCCAGGTCTTCTTTTTTGGTGATAAACTGGGCCGTCTCACTTGATTCTTGGTGAAAAACTTCCTATATACTGCTAAGATTGGAATGCCGTACTGGCCATTAAAAAATATATCAAATGAATAAATCTAGAATATTTATCAAAAATTATTGAAACGACAAACAATAAAAAGGATAAAAAAAAAGCAGCAATTAGAATAAATTCCTCTTGACCTTTATAAAGGATCTTAGTCTGGAAAAATCTAGAAGACTTAACAGTTCGCTTCTTATTCTTCACCTTCATTGACTTCGTTGTCAGCAATTCTTGCCTTTCGACAGTAGCAAGACAGCAGTTTGCGAAATTCCCTTCGGAACTCACCATTTGTGAAAGCGTAAATAAAAGGATTTACTGAAGCACTCAAATAAAAGCAAAACATTGATAGCATGGCTGCAATTCTTGGGCTAGTTTCGGGAGAAAAACGAAACCAGAGAACAAGTGCCCACATTGGTATCCAGCAACACAAAAATCCCGCGGCCACGAACAATAACACTCGACTAATGTTTGTTTCTTTCACTGAGCTTCTCGCTACACCATTTTCACTTCTGTTCTGTAGCGATGATACCACATTCTGTTGATGCTCGTGGGTTTTAAGATATATCTTATAATAACTGAAAATACCGATAAACAACGGTAAAATAAAAAGCAGTCCCACAGTGATACAGTAATGAACGATTAGACTTTCACTAGTTGGGAAATCAAAAGCGCACACTGCGTAGCTTTGGACAAATTCAATCTGTAACCAATTTGTGAATCGTGCAATGATCAGATAAAGTGCAAAGGTAAGCCACAAGCAAATCAACCACATCTTAGATTTGCGAGTCGAAAACATCTTATTGTAATGGCTTGTCTTCACAATTTTCATGTAACGGTTAAACGCCGTCAAGCCAAGGGTTGCTGGGGTAACGTTAAAGGTGAACACATCAACAAAACCTTGAATCTGGCATACAGCGTCGCCGAAGACCCATTTTCCAATGATCAGTGTTGTAGAAGCTAACGGCATATCTACTGTTGCACACAGCAAATCGCTAACTGCTATGGCAATGATGTACAGGTTGAAGGTTGATCGCAAGTTTGGGTTTCTATATGTTGCTATACAAACAAGACTGTTTCCAATGATGCTTGTGATGCTCAATGCAATACAAACACTTGCCTCAGTTATGACAACAGGTAAGCTTCGGCTTGGTAACTCTAGGTTTGACATCTTTTCTCCCTAAAAGTTTAATTAATAATTTAAAATTTAAGAACGTATGAATAAATAAATAGATTGAGTAAATCGATGGACAAGTAATACAATAGCCGCAATAAGAAATTTCATTGGGTCATTTTCATAGAAACCTGGTTAAAAATTTCAAAAAATTTAACTCGGTAAAAGGTCGGTTAAGATGAAATAAAGGGAATTTCTTTCGAACGGCGGCACTGAACTAGGTTATGAAGTGGGTGAACTTGACATCATGGGAAACCAAAAAAATGCAGAATTCGAGGGCCACGATATTATTTTCTCGCTTCTTACTTTCTTTTTGATTCCTTTCTCTGCACTCATGTTCTACGTTAACTTCTTGGTTACCGTTAACGCAGCTTCTGTTCGATGAAAAGCCGACAAAAGCGATTGATTTATTAGAAATAACTCGCCTTACTTGTCAAGTGCGGCCGCGAGCAAGGAAAATAACAATCCTTTTTTTCACTACCTAAGTCCATAGCAAGCTCCTTCACCGCTCTCAGGTTTTCGCGAAGCGGCGACGGATTTTTTTTCTTTTCATTATCTATTCTTTTTTCATCGTTTTGCACATTTTATTTCAAACCGGTACGTGATCCACTAGACTTATTATAAATACGACAGAAGAGTTGTTTAAAGACTCGAACAAAAATCATTATGGCCCTTAATTTCATCGCACAGAGACTTGATGAAACTCGGAAACAGCTAGAGGGTTTTGATGAAAATAAGCAGATTTAAGGAGGTGATTACGAATTTAATAATCAGTTCGCTGGAATTGGTTTCATTATTCGTAACGCTTGTGCTCTTTAGATTGCACCGTATATACTGCGTTATCTAAGCTATTGTGATGAACTGGTGAAATCACTGTAACCTACTTTGGGCAGAGTGCTTTTGTTTGACGAAGGCGAGATAAACTAGAAAAGTTCAATTTTTTTTTTTATTGTTACGGACCTTTAATGCACATTTGCAATCGAGTATATAGCTTCAGGTCGGTCGTATGTATGATATGAATCACTTACTGTTTTCCCAGGAAAATTTACTCGCCTGCTGAAGTGTTGCCGTCTCGTCGATTCATCGTTCTCTCTTGGCGACAAAATGCAAAGATATATCTCCAATAATCGACGATATCTCGGAGGAATGAACCACGATATTCGGCGATAATCGATTGCATTATTTTTCATACTACTTTAATATCATAAAATACAATGTCGAATATGACAATCTAATTTTGAACTAATTCTTGCTATTTAAAGGTTAGACACTTATATAACCGAAGGTATTCGAGGTAAAAAATCTGAAATAAATTTCGTTAAATTAATGAGTCAGTCAGTCTTGTAGTATACGCATCCTAATACCATCTCAATATTTGAAAATTAAGGGTTCTACAAAAAGAACCTGCGGTACGACAGATATGAAAAACAATTTCAAACAAACCCTCTTTAAATGTGGCCAAAAATATGTAGAGACGTAATAATAAATCTTCACCTTATCTCACCTTATTTTACACTGTATACTTTGAGGTGTCTTAATATTTTTTTTAATGGTAACACCCAGTGTCCGCAAAAGCGTTCCAAAGCCAGTCGACAAATTTAGAGGGAGTGCTGAATGATTCATTATCATTATCTTAAAAAGTGACAGGTGACAAAGAAGGCTGGTTGTAATAATTTTCAATCACGCAACTACCAGCGGATGTTTGTTTCTCTTGGATAGCGGCCAGATTGCATCCGTGTCACCTCCACCTGTGATTATTTAAATATTTTCCAGGCCTATCCATTGTATGACTAATCAGGCACGCTTCCGCAAAGATGACTGAGAAAATTGATAATTTAATTTATCTATAACGGGAGTCTCAACCAACCCATTCGAGGGAAGATCTTTTTCGCCTCCAATTTCCCACTGGTGAAAGATTTGTCAGTAACGTAGGGTGCTTGGTAAAGTTATAAACGTGCAGTTGAACTCATTCTGGTAAAACTCACCATACGTTTCACATTTTGTCCAGGAATAAGAGGGAAAGATTTTGCCTGAAAAAGTTTCTCAAAATTATCAGCATAAAAACGGGAGTTACTTTTTGTTTTTTATTTCCTAACATGAAATTCTTGCGATTAAGAAATGATGAGTATCCCAAACTTTTCGCCTAAAAGTATTGGTTTCAAGAGAACGAAAGTTACAACTTGACCGAAATCAACTCAGTAATTTGGAGTTGACGATGATTTTGTTTAGCTTCCAAGATCTAAACCTATAATCGAAAGTTTTTTTTTTCCAAGTTTGATTATTTTTAGCCTTGGGTGTTAATTCCTATGAACCTTTTCGAAAGTTCTCATTTGAGCAGCGACCATGAAATCATCTCACGTTAAAGTAAATGAAATACTTAGTTGACGGTAAAATAGCTCAGTAGCAGTTTAATTCTCTACAAAGGTCTTGTTGTTGTTTTCTTCCTTGACAATGTGCAGGGATAATCAAAGATTAGAGTAAACTTTACACAATCCGAAAAAGACAAATTTCTTTAAACATTCTTTGAACGGGAGTTTGTAGAAAAAGAAAATGTTGCTGTGCTGTTAAATTTTACATAAATCCCTACGGTTTACGAAATAAATCGTTAATTTCGAAAATTTACTCAAGGAAACTATACAATACTGCATTTCTTGTGACTTCCCTCAGCAATTTTTATTAGTGGTGTCATCTAATTATTAAAACATGCAATTGGGCTTGACTCGATAAATGAAAACGAAAATGATCTTCAAATGCAAGCTAGGCTTATATGTTAATAATCTTCTTTTTTTGCGTACTTCGACTATATATTGACAAAAGTAGACTTTTTTTGGCACATACACATGCTCGAGCAATATTAACGACGCCAGAGGCTGTTCATCAACGAAATTTTTGCTCACATAATTACCTATAAAGGAGAGATGGGGAAAAAAGGGCACTCGACGCTATATTTTGTCATTTTGGTCTCTTAATAGAATTTTGTTGTGAAAAATCAAGCTTATTTGGCATGAAAAAAACAAGTGTTTTCTTTACACAGACAGACACCTTTGTTTAATTTAAGGCTCAGGTGGTCGTTTCAGTCGCTTGAAGACTATTGTTTCCCGCTTGTCTCTCTCGAGCTAAATTAGTGAAACACAATACTTTCGATCAATCCATCAGTAGGAGCCCTGTTTCCCGCTCGTCTCCACTGAGCTAAATTGGTAAAACACAACACTCCCAATCGATGCATCAGTAGGAGCCCTGTTTCCCTCTTGTCTCTCCCGAGCTAAATTAGTAAAACACAATGCCCTCCAATCGATGCATCAGTAGGAGCCCTGTTTCTCGCTTGTCTCTCCCGAGCTAAACTGGTAAAACAGAATACCCTCAATCGATGTATCAACAGGAGCCCTGTTTCCCACTTGTCCCTCTTGAACTAAATTAGTAAAACACAGCACCCCCAATCAATCCATCGGTAGGAGCCCTGAAGACTAATTTTCCCCGCTTGTCTTTCTCGAACTAGATTAATGAAACAAAAAAACCTAATTGAATTGTAGTTGAGGAGAGCAGCATAATAATTTTTTTTGGCGCAAGATTTTCCATCTAAATGGATTTGAATTAAGTTTAAGAGACCATAGCTGATTGGTAATGCGGGTATCGGGATTCTTCGATCGATTTCTAACTTACAGAATTAATTTAGCTTTTTGCCATGACAGCTCAAACTTTACATTTTTTATCTATTTACATAATAATTTATTATTATATAAATAGATGAAAAATGTAAGCTTTTGGTTTGGAAGTGGGGCTCATGTTTGCTGTTATTATTATTTTTCTCATCTCCTCAAAGTTACATTCTTGGCAAATAAACAGACCCAAAAAACTAGCAACTCATCTTTATACATTTATACACTTATTCATCAGTCACAAAGGAGAAAAATCATGGACATTTCTGGGAAGCATGGAAAGAAAAGTGACGAACAAGCTAAACAGCTGTAAGTTTTACCAAATGCATGAAGCCATTTTCTTAAAATGAATTTAGAGAACAAAAAGAAACAAAACAGAGCAATGGAACAAACATAAAAAGTCTGTATAGAAAGATGAACATCTAGTGCTGACGGAACGGAATAGATCGAAAAAGCAACAACGACAACAGCAATAAAAAAAATCCACTTAAACCTTAGCAAATAGGATGATATTTCAGACACTTCGACGTTTGTTTCGCCTGTCCAGTAACCCGTCGCCCTTGTCACCAGCTGAAATGGCTTTGTTTGATGCATTCCATGCCCTTTCGTTGCGGCAACGGAGAAGTTTGCGAAATTCCCTTCTGAACTCGCCATTTGTGAAAGTATAAATAAGTGGATTTACTGAAGCACTCAGATAAGACAAAAAGACGTCAATCAGTTGCACAACTCTAGGACAGGTTTCTGGGGAAAAACGCATCCAGAGTGCAAGTGCCCACATTGGTATCCAGCAACACAAAAAGCCAGCGGCCACGAAGAACAAGACTCGACTAATGCTTATATCCCTCACTGAGCTGTCGTTCATTCTACTGTTTGGCGAGTTCTGAAGCGTTGAAACTGTGTTCTGTTTATGCTCATGGATTTTGAAAAATATCTCGTAATAACTGAAAATACCGACAGACAACGGTAAAACAAAAAGCAATCTAATAGTGATGTAATAATGAATTATTCGGCTTTCACTTGTTGGGTAAGCAAATGAGCACAATGCAAAGCTTTGGTTAAATTCTATTCTGATCCAATTTGTGACTCGGACAATCAGTAGGTAAAGAGCAAAGGAAAGCCACAACAACAAAGCATCGTAACTTTGGGTTTCTGCATGCTGCTATACAAACCAGACTGTTTCCACTGATGCTTATGATACACAATACCATTCACACACTTGCCTCAGTTATGATAACAGGTAAGCCTCGACTTGGTAAGTCTAAGTTTGACATCGTGTCTACCAAATCAATCAATCAAATCAAATCAATTATTTAGAAATAATAGATATAAATATATATATATATATATACATACATACATACATATATATATACATATATATATACTCTGCTTCAACGTATTGAGCACTGTTCCACGCGAAAATCGACTTGCAGACTTCCTACATATATATATATATATATATATATATATATATATATATATATGAATAGATAAATATGGAAATTTATGAATAAATACATAGACAGATTTATCAGTAATATACAGGTATTAAAATTAAGCACCCAGTGGATACACGAGTCGATGGTGTTCTTTGTTTCATTCATCCGTAAAATGTTCTATTCTCAGTTAAATACATATTATTTCTTAGCAGGTTGTTAAGATTTTGACTAATTTATTGCTTTCAGTTAAGGCCCATGCAGGAATTCTAACTGATCACGTGAAATTAAAGCCTTATACGCTAGCGTAGAAGGAGAAGGAGTGATTGAGTGATAGATGCGAGGAGTGAATTTGAGTCCTAACAACTACTTGGAAATTTGCGTTCAGCCGTTTTCTCAAATGAATAATTGTAACAACTTGCATATATAATGCCACTATGAATGATGGGAATGTTCACGGACGGACTCACGGGCACGATAACAAGGCGTCTACGTTGCCTTGGGCATCGTAGACTCAAAAAGAAGAAGACTGGTAGAAGAAGTTGCTAGCTCACCTTCATTGTTATCAGTGTTCGCGACATCTCGACTAACTTTTTCAATTCACAATTATTTACCTAGATCGAATATATCAACCGTAAGCGCCACGTGATTTCTCTGCTTTGGTACTTTGTACTCGATGTTTCTAATCCATGAAAGAAGCTCATTTGCGTATCACATTTGTTTAAAGCTGACCACCGCTTAATTTCAAGACTTCCTTCTAATAATTTCACTTAGTTTCTACATAATTTTATTTTTTTGCAACATACACTGTTGGTAGATTTTCCATAATTTTTCTTCTTTCCAAAGGAGATGATTTTCATAAAATTAAGATTCGCATAAAGTTTACTCAGACTCGAATGCAGGCTGTCTATGTATGATTATTTAGTTGTTTCTCAACTCACGTAAGCCTAATCTGCCCTTTTTTTAAATATTTGTCTGTCCTTTTTTCCAAGAAAGTGAAATTTTCTTTGCTCCAGAAAACGAAATTTCAAAAATATATCAGAGACATAAGAAAGGTTTTCTTTGAGAGATGCAGTATGTATGTTAGTGTAGGACGAGAAAGAATAAACAGCATTCAGGAAAAGCGGGGTTAAACTCAATGAATAACAATGACATGGCAACCATTCGATTTTTGCATTTCAGTGCTAACATTGTTCATTTCAAGAAATACATTCTTTTTTCCAACCATGCTATTTCAAGGTTGTACGTTTCGCGAAACTTGGAATCAATTGTCTCCTTAACGAGAGTTATTATCTCATCTTTCACCTTATACTTTTACGTTTCCTTTTGCTTATTATTTGCGTACAAACGCGTCTAAAATTTAAAGTTTTGAGTTAATAATTTAAATCGGCAAACGTAAAGACGTTTCTGTTGCTCTTGTTGGTTTTGACTTTTTATTTTTTCAACAGGGCTCTATCTTGCTGACAGTTTCCCCTGTGTTTGATATGAATCAAGATACAAATAAATATGTTATTTGTATTTGGAAAGATATGCTTCAGAAGAAATTAAAATGAAAAGTCATTTGTTTGATGAAATATTCAACAATTTACTTTGGTCACTAAATAACTGTCTCAACATACCTCACCTTCAGGAACTTTCCTTAAGGGATTCTCGGTTTTGCTAAAAAGCTACGGCGATATCACTTATAATCGAGTAAAGCGTTTGCATCACAAAACCAGCTGTTTTCTAGGAACAAGCAGTCAATAACAAAAGTATAGAACACATTCGGAATAATTATCGGTCCAACATAAAATCGGCACCTTTTAAAGCCTGTGTTTCTTGAAAGGTTACAGATGCCAAAAAAACTAATTGCAAGGAGTCTTTCTAAATTCAAAGGCGCCACGTTATCTCACTATTTTTGTTTTCTTTTTGTTTTCTTTTTTTTTAACTTCTCAAAGATTGTTATCATCCCTCACAAAGGGGTTTTAAAATGATCATTCTTCCTTTTTTTAAATTAGTATTTACGCACACGCGCGTGGAAACATAAAGGGTGTGTGGGTTTCCTAAACGAACAAAACTCAAAACAGTTACCTTTTGGGCTTTTTGACTCCTCGTCCTCAAGCAAGGCATTTGCAGCGCAAAACCAATTGTTTATAACCTATGAACTGCCGAACAAGGATCGTCTTCTGAATAATTTATGTTCCAACACGGAATAGACACCTGTCATATTTTTTTGTGATAGATGACAGGAATAATAACTGGTCTCAATGACTGAGGGTGCCAAGGGGCTGAATGCTTTTCAAAACCTTGACCACCTTTATACAGATATTGCTATTTCTACTGATTGATTGATTTTACAAGTGATGTCAAAACTTTGCCAAGCGCCTCTTTTAATTCATTTACTAGGACGATGGGATTAATGGGACTCATTGAAGCACTTAGATTAAAAAAAAGAAGTAAAAAATGAAAACAACAAGCATTGCTACTCATAGACAGGTTTCCGGGAAAAGTGCGTCCAAAGGACAAGTGCCTACCTTCGTATCCAATAACACAAAATCCCAGCAGCTACGAACAACAACACTCGACTAAAGTTTATTCCCTCATTGAGGTGCTGTTCATTCTATTGTTCATGAATTGTGCATGAATTCGAATCCACCAACGCTTAATTCAACTTTTTCCAGGCGTATGTCTTATACGTCATTACTATTCAAAAAGGAATCGAAAATTAAAATGACGAAAACAATTGAGTGATATGAGGATGCTTTTTTGGAGTTTCACCTCACTGCAGGAAAAAAAGCTGTATCCGCTTCCACTTTCCCATTGTTTAAAGACTTGAAGAAAAATTATCATCTCAAGTCGATGATCAACAAAATATCTGACGTGCAGCCGAGCTTATCCGTCTCGCCATGGGTTTTAATTTATATTTGAAGAACTTTACCAAAATGGGGATGAAGAAAAGAAATATATCAATAATTTCAAATCAAGGAACTGATAGCACTGAATTATTTAAAGAGTATTTTGATCTTTTAAGAATTTTTCTTAAAGTCTTTTTACACGAGGACAAAAGCCCCACGGTGACTGCAATCAAAAATGCTTCGCAATTTCATTTAATTTGAGTTCGTAACTGTGCACGTCCTCTTTTTCTCTCGTAATCCGGCTGATTTTAGAAACTTTGTAAGTTACTTACTATGTTTGCAAAATGTAAATAAAAAAATATAGGTAAACAATTCTGTACTAGATTTCAATTCAATGAGACAAGAAAACGAAAGAAAAAAAAAACAAATGGACATCAGACGCTGCACGAGATCTGCCGACTTCGAGTGCGCGCATACGTTTCTCTGTATGCTAAGAAAAAATATGCGAAAGAATACAGAAAATTGCAATGGGATTAGCTGGTTGATTGAATATGATAGTTAGTTTATAAAATGAAAACAAATTATATGTCACAATAACTAAAAAAGCGATAAAAAAAATCTATATAGTACACAGTCTAAAAATGTTCACACAGTTAACAGTATCCTTGTTTAAAAAGATACGTTCTCAGTTGTTTCTAAAAAATATTTACACTACTTACAGCTCCTAGACTTTCCGGAAGAGAGTTCCATAAAAATGGGGCAGCTACCGAGAAAAGCTCTGTCGCCAGTGGTCTTGGCAGATCTAATTGCCGGGCGAGCTAATAAATTACTAAAAAATTTGATCTTAAATTATAATTAGAATCGCCTTTGAATGATACAATATCTTTAAGGTATGCTGGCGCTAGGCCATGGAGAGCTTTAAACAAGAGTAACAGGGTGAGGAAGATGTGCCCGTAACATAACTGTTTAAGCATGCCATAAGTAGAATCTTGTGCAGACGGTTGGATGCTTGCACGGTCGTACAGTAACAAACGTTCTCGGCTGGATCGGTTACCGGCCCAATTTCATAATTATGCATAGGGCTACGCTCTGAGTGCTCCACTATGGCTATCAGTAGGTGTGGGGACTAGAAATGTGCGCTTGGAGGAAACCGATAGAACTTTCCATAATATTTCCAAACCTTCCTGTATAACCTTCTTGACGTCGCTCATAAGTGCCTTGAAACAGCTACACAACACAGGCCAGTAGGGAAATATTTAATTATTTATATTTGGTTCAATTATTTTCAGGCCAATTACCATGAAATTTGTGCTCAATATTAAAAATATTACGTTTACATATGAATTAACCATTAAGCGTTTAGTAATTCTATAATGTAAACAAACAAACACACACCCACACACACAATTCAAAACAAAACAAAGAGACCGAACCACGAAGTCAACAAGAAATAGAAACAATAAAATAAAAATTCCATCCAGCTTTCAAAGGATGATATTGCTCTGACACGAGTCTGCGAGACATAAAAATTCGCTTAATGTTCTTCCCATTCCACGCAATCGTTTTTAGTTACCGATTGGCACCATTCTTACCCTTTCACGGCAGCAACAGAGCAATTTTCGAAATTCCTTCCGGAACACGCCATTGGTGAAAGCGTAAATAGTGGGATTTACTGAAGCACTAAGAAAAAAGATAAAAATTTTAACCAAAGCTGCAATTCTTGGGCAGGTTTCAGGGGAAAAACGAAACCAGAGGACTATTGCCCACATTGGTATCCAGGAACACAAAAATCCCACGGCCACGATGAACAGCATTCGAGTAAGATTGGTTTCTCTCACTGAATTATTTAATGCACCATCGTTAGTTCTGTTTTGTAACGAACTGACTACATTCTGTTGATGCTCATTGGTTTTGAGAAATATGTTATAGTAACTAAAAGTACCGATGCACAACGGGACAACAAAAAGCAAGCCGAAGGTGAGACAGTAATGAACGATTTGACTTTCATCACTTGGATAAGAAAAGGCGCACAATGCAAAGCTTTGAACGAAATTAATTTTGATCCAATTTGTGACTCGGACAATCAGCAGATAAAGTGCAAGGAAAAGCCACAAGCAACTCAGCCATATCTTAGATCTTCGGGGTGAAAAAATCTTATTGTAGTGGCTCGTCTTCACAATTTTCACGTAACGGTTAAACGCTATCAAACTAAGGGTGGCTGGAGTCACGTAATAGGCGAATTCAGCAACAAAGCCTTGAATTTGGCATAACGCGTTGCCAAAGTCCCATTTTCCAACGATCAGCGTTGAAGAAGTTAGAGGCATTTCGATGGTTGCAACTAGCAGGTCACTGACTGCTAAGGCAATGATGTACAGGTTGGTAGTGGATCGCAGGTTAAGGTTTCTGTACGCTGCTATACAAACCAGACTGTTTCCAATGAGGCTCGTAATATTTAAAGCAACGCATATGCTTGCCTCAATTATAACAACAGCTAAGCTTCGACTTGGTAGCTCTAGGTTTGACATCTTGTCTACCTGAAAAAGCATAATGAATGACTAAATGAATAAACAACTGATTTTCTTTCCAATACTTCAGGCAGTCTAAAAAAACTCAATCTTTTTTTACAATTACGGAGTTCAAATGTAGTTTGCAATCAAGCATGCGTTTTCAGGTCGGTCATAATGTATGTTTGAGGCGCGTCACCTACCAATCTTTCATACCAGTTTCCAGTCGTGCATAAAATTAAAATCAACATAAATTTTAGGCAGCCCATGTATGCTCTCCAGCTAAATCTTGTTATAAATATATTATTTGAACGCATCTCCATTGTTGCATTTAAGGGTAGAAGACAACGTTATGTGCAAATTTATTATGAGTTTAGAAAAAATCTTATGTTCGAGTATCGCAAATAATTTACTGATTATATTACATGCATCAGAAAGAGAAACTCAGGGTAAGGTATTCTGCTTTAGTGGCTGGCTGTTCACAAACGGAAAGTCGAACAAAATTCATTTCTAATTAAATTTAACTAACCATTTAGGAAAAAAGCTTTGACGTTCAAATAGAAAATTCTGAAGAAGCAAAAGGAACGATATTTGCATCCCATCAGATTATTCAATTTGGTATTCAAATTAGGTTCCTCGTATTTTCATCGCAGGAATGGTAAAATCTATTCAATTCGTACTCGCAACCCATCCAAAATTTAGAAGTGAACTGATGTCATCCTCTCAGCATTTGGCAAGGAGACATCACCATAAATTTATGATTGATTGGTACGAGCAACACAGCTTTCGACATCTAAGAAGCTTGCTTTGACAAACAATAACTAAAGTAGAAAAAAAGAATGGAATAACTTTTCCGTCCTGTTTTTAAAAGATGATGTTTCACCAGCACAAATTCATGAGAATTAAAAAGTCTGCTTCTTGTTCCTCTCGTTCGACGAGATCGTTACCAGTAAACGCAGCAGCTTTCTTTGGCACAATTCTTGACCTTTCACGGTGGCAACAGAGCAGTTTGCGAAATTCCCTTCGAAATTCGCTATTTGTGAAAGCGTAAATAATAGGATTGATTGAAGCACTCAAATAAAATAAAAAAGTGACAAGCAATTCTACAATTCTTGAGCTGGTTTCAGGGAAAAAACGAAACTAGAGGACAAATACCCACATTGGTATCCAGCAACACAAAAATCCCGCTGCCAAAAGGACCAACATTCGAGTAAGCTTTACTTCTCTCACTTAGTTGGTTACAGAACCATTTTCACTCCCGTTCTGTAGCGATGAGACTACACTATGCTGATGCTCACTGGTTTTGAGAAATATCTTTTAACAACTGAAAATGCCGACAAACAACGGTAAAACAAAAGTAATCCGAAAGTGGTGCAATAATGAAAGACTTGACTTTCACTGGTTGAGAAAGCAAAGACGCACACTGCGTAGCTTTGCACAAATTCAATTCGTAACCAATTTGTGACTCGGACAATGAGCAAGTAAAGTGCAAGGGAAAGCCACAAGCAACTCAACCATATCTTAGATCTTTGGGACGAAAAAATCTTCTTGTAATGGCTTGTCTTTACAATTTTCACGTAGCGGTTAAACGCTGTCAAACCAAGGGTCGCTGGGGTAACATAATAGGTAAATTCAGTAACTAAGCCTTGAAATTGGCATAAGGCGTCGCCAAAGACCTATCTTCCGATGATCAGCGTGGCAGAAGCTAACAGCATCTCTACTATTCCACACAGCAGATCGCTTACCGCTTAATCAATGATATACAGGTTGGTGGTTGATCGCAGGTTTGAGTTTCTGTATGTTGCCACACAAACTCGACTGTTTCCAATGATCCTTGTGATGCTCAATGCAATACAAACACTTGCCTTGACAACAAGTAAGCTTCGGCTTGGTGACTCTAGGTTTGACATCTTTTCTACCAAAAAGTTTGATCAATAATTTAAAATTTAAGAACGTGAATAAATAAATCGATTGAATAAATCGATGGACAAATAACACTACAGCTAAACTGGTGGCTGCAGCCGCAATAAGATAGTTAATTGCGTTATTTTTTAGAAACCTGGTTAAAACTTCAAAAAATTTAACCCGGTAAAAGGTTGGTAAAGATGAAATAAAGGGGCTTTATTTTTGAAAGGCGGAACTGAACTGGGTTATGAAATGGGAGAACGTGACATCATAGGGAAACCAAAAAAAAAAAAAAATGCAGACTTCGAGGGCCACGATGTTATTTTCTTCCTTCTCTCTTTCTTTTCGACTTCTTTCTCTGCAATCACGGATTAGATGATCGTCCTTCCGATTCGTTCTACGTTAACTTCTTGGTTACCGTTAACGCAGATTCCGTTCGATAAAAAGCCGAAAAAAGCGATTGATTTATTAGAAGTAACCCGGTTTACTTGTCAAGTGCGGCCGCGGCCAAGGAAAATAACAATATTTTTTTTAACTTTCTAATTCCCTTGCAAGCTCCTTCACCGCTCTCAGGTTTTCGCGAAGCGGCGACGGATTTTTTTCTTTTCATTATTTATTCTTCCATTCATCGTTTTTGCACATTTTGTTTCAAACCGGTACGTGATCCACTAGAGTTATTATAAAATACGACAGAAGGGCTGTTTAAAGACTCGAACAAAAATCCTTATGGCCCTTAATTTCATTGGACAGAGACTTAATGAAACTCGGAAACAGCTAGAGAGTTTTGATGAAAATAAGCAATAATAATCCTTTCGCTGAAACTGGTTTCATTATTCGTAACGCTTGTGCTCTTTAGACTGCATATACTTCGTTATCTAAGCTATTGTGATGAACTGGTGAAATCACTGTTACCTACTTTGGGCAAAGTGCTTTTGATTGACGAAGGCGAGATGAACTAGAAAAGTTCAATTTTTTTTTTTATTGTTACGGACCTTTAATGCACATTTGCAATCGAGTATATAGCTTCAGGTCGGTCGTAGGTATGATATGAATCACTTACTGTTTTCCCAGAAAAATTTACTTGCCTGCTGAAGCGTTGTCGTCTCGTCGATTTATCGTTCTCTCTTGGTGACAAAATGCAAAGATATATCTCCAATAATGGACGATATCTTGGAGGAATGAACCACGATATTCGGCGATAATCGATTGCATTATTTTTCATACTACTGTAATATCATATAATACTATTGTCGAAATATGACCATCTAATTTTGAACTAATTTTTGCTATTTAAAGGTTAGATACTTATATAACTGAAGGTATTCGCGGTAACAATTGAAATAAATGTTAGTTAAATTAATGAGTCAGTCAGTATTGTAGTATATGCATCCTGATACAATCTTGTTCTACAAAAAGAACCTGTGCTACGCCAGATATGAAAAACAATTAAAAAAACCCTCTAGTGGCACTTGACACTATATTTTGTCATTTTGATCTCTTAATAGAATTTTGTTGTCAAAAATATTTTTAAAAGTTAAGTTATCTTCAACGCAAATCTATTATGCCAATTCCCAATTCTCTTCAGCGGTATTTTTAATCAAGCTTACTTGGCATGGAAAAAACAAGTGTTTGCTTTATACAGACAGACACCTTTATTTAATCTAAGGCTCAGGTGGTCGTTTCAGTTGCTTGAAGACTATTGTTTCCCGCTTGTCTCTCTCGAGCTAAATTAGTGAAACACAATACTTTTTATCAATCCATCCGTAGGAGCCCTGTTTCCCGCTCGTCTCCATTGAGCTAAATTAGTAAAAACACAACACCCGCAATGGATGCATCAGCAGGAGTCCTGTTTCCCGCTAGTCTCTCCCGAGCTAAAGTAGTAAAACACAACACCCCCAATTGATGCATCAGTAGGAGCCCTGTTTTCCGCTTGCTCCCCTCGAGCTAAATTAGTAAAACACAATGCCCTCCAATCGATGCATCAGTAGGAGCCCTGTTTCCCGCTTGTCTCTCTCGAGCTAAATTGGTAAAACACAACACCCCCTTAATCGATGCATCAACAGGAGCCCTGTTTCCCACTTGTCTCTCTTGCGCTAAATTAGTAAAACACAGCACCCCCAATCAATCCATCAGTAGGAGCCCCGAAGACTAATTTTCCATGCTTGTCTTTCTCGAACTAGATTAATAAAACAAAACACTCCTAATTGAATTGTAGTTGAGGAGAACAGCATAATAATTTTTTTTTGCGCAAGATTTTCCATCTGAAAGGATTTGAATTAAGTTTAAGAGACCATAGCCGATTGATCATGCGGGTATTGGGAGTCTTCGATCAATTTCTAATTTACAGAATTAATTCAGCTTTTTGCCATGAGATTTCAAGCTTTACATTTTTTATCTATTTATATAATAATTTATTTTTATATAAATAGATAAAAAATTGAAGCTTTTGGTTTGGAAGAGGGCTTATGTCTGCTGTTATTATTATTTTTCTCATCTCCTCAAAGTCACATTCTTTGCAAATAAACAGACCTAGGAAACTAGCATCTCATCTTTATACATTTACATAAGTTTACACTTATTCATCAGTCACAAAGGAGAAAAATCATGGGCATTTCTGGGAAGCATGGAATAAAAAGTGACGAACAAGCTAAACAGCTGCAATTTTTACCAAATGCAAGAAGCCATTTTCTTAAAATGAATTTAGAGAACAAAACAGCAATGGAACAAACATAAAAAGTCAGTAGAGAAAGATGAATATCTAGTGATGACGGAACGGAATAGATCGAAAGAGCAACAATGACAACAGCAATTAAAAAATCCACCTAAACCTTAGCAAATAGGGTGATATTTCAGACAGCTGGAAAGCCAACTACACCTCGACGTTTGTTTCGCCTGTCAAGTAACCCGTCACCCTTGTCACCAGCTGAAATGGCTTTGTTTGATGCATTCCATGCCCTTTCGTTGCGGCAACGGAGAAGTTTGCGAAATTGCCTTCTGAACTCGCCATTTGTGAAAGTATAAATAAGTGGATTTACTGAAGCACTCAGATAAGAAAAAAAGACGTCAATCAGTTGCACAACTCTAGGACAGGTTTCTGGGGAAAAACGCATCCAGAGTGCAAGTGCCCACATTAGTATACAGCAACACAAAAAGCCAGCAGCCACGAAGAACAAGACTCGACTAACGCTTATATCCCTCACTGGGCTGTCGTTAATTCTACTGTTTGGTGAGTTCTGAAGCGTTGAAACTGTGTTCTGTTTATGCTCATGGATTTTGAAAAATATCTCGTAATAACTGAAAATACCAACACACAAAGGTGAAACAAAAAGCAATCCAATAGTGATGCAATAATGAAAGATTCGGCTTTCACTTGTTGGGTAAGCAAATGAGCATACTGCAAAGCTTTGGTTAAATTCTATTCTGATCCAATTTGTGACTCGGAAAATCAGCAGGTAAAGAGTAAAGGAAAGCCACAAGCAACTCAGCCATATCTTAGATCTGCTTGGCGAAAAAATCTTATTGTAGTGGTTCGTCTTCACAATTTTCATGTAACGGTTAACGCTGTCAAACCAAGGGTTGCCGAGGTAACATAATTGGCGAATACACCAACTGAGCCTTGAATTTGGCATAAGGTGTCGCCAAAGTCCCATCTTCCGATGATCAGCGTTGTAAACGTTAAAGGCATTTCTATTGTTGCGCACAACAGATCGCTGACTGCTAATGCAATAATGTACAGGTTGGTGGTTGATCGCAGGTTTGGGTTTCTGTATGCTGCTATACAAACCAGACTGTTTCCAGTGATGCTTATGATACACAACACCATACACACACTTGCCTCAGTTATGATAACAGGTAAGCCTCGACTTGGTAAGTCTAAGTCTGCCAAAAAGTGTCAAATCAATGATTTAGAACTAATAGATATAAATATATATATATATATATATATATAGATATGAATAGATAAATACGCAAATTTATGAATAAATATGTAGACAGATTTATCAGTAATATACAGGTTAAAAATTAAGCACCCAGTGGATACACGAGTCTATGGTGTTCTTTGTTTCATCCATCCGTAAAATGTTCTAGTCGCAGTTAAATAAATATCATTTCTAAGCAGGTTGTTAAGATTTTGACCAGTTCTTAGCTTTCAGTTAAGGCCCATGCAGGAATTCTAACTGAACACGTGAAAGCCTTATACGCTAGCGTAGAAGGAGAAGGAGTGATTGAGTGATAGATGCGAGGAGTAAATTTTGAGTCCTAACAACTACTTGGAAATTTTTCTTCAGCCGTTTTGTCAAATGAGTGATTGTAAAAACTTGCATATACAATGCCACCATGAATGATGGGGATGTTCACGGACGGACTCACGGGCACGATAACAAGGAGTCTACGATGCCTTGGGCAACGTAGACTCAAAAAGAAGAAGATTGGTAGAAGAAGTTGCTTGCTCACCTTCATTGTTATCAGTGTTCGCGACATCTCGACTAACTTTTTCAATTCACAATTATTTACCTAAATCTAAGATATTAGCCGTAAGCGCCACGTGATTTCTCTGCTTTGGGACTTTGTACTCGATATTTCTACTCCGTGAAAGAAGCTCATTTGCGTATCACATTTGTTTAAAGCTGATCATCGCTTAATTTCAAGACTTCCTTCTAATAATGTCACTTAATCAGTTTCTATATAATTTTTTTTTGCAACATACACTGTTGGTAGATTTTCCATAATTTTTCTTCTTTCCAAAGGAGATGATTTTTATAAAATTAAGATTCGCATAAAGTTTACTCAGACTCGAATGCAGGCTGTCTTTGTATGATTATTTAGTTGTTTCTCAACTCACGTAAGCCTAATCTTCCCTTTTTTTTATATATTTGTCTGTCCTTTTTTCCAAGAAAGTGAAATTTTCTTTGAATTCTTT